CGTACTGGCAACTGAATATATCCGTCGCCTTTAGTTGCTGCCCCGTACACATCGACAATCTGGCGAAAACAGGCAACTCCTAGTGGCAGGCCAGTCTCGGGAATAACAGCGCGTACATCGACAGCAACTGGCTTCAACTACAGTGTGTTTTCTGCATAAACTGTAGAGGGCGCAATACACGCAATACACACGTTGTTGGAGCGCGCCACGGAGCGCGCACATCGGGTGATATCTCTGGATCTGAGGACAACTAGTTGCCGAAAAGTAGAACACGGGCACCTGACTGAATCCGGAGATCGACTGTTTATCTCCAGTTGTAAGAGCGCTCACATCGACCTATTTCGGCAACTGATCATCTCCATCATCTACTCTCTATTGCCAAAAGCCGCCTTGCAACTGGTTAGGCAACGCTAGGCTTTAGACAAACTCACCAAAAATGAGCTCCAGAAGGATGACATCTGAGGAGGCTTTATCACAGATTTTTAACTGGGATAGTGATGTAGAGGAAGAGATTTCAGAAACAGAGGATTTTTCAGATACAGGACAATGTTATTGCTGATCCAGATTGTCAATTTTCTTACGATAAGGAGGATTCAGAGGACAAATCTTTGGCCAAGTAAAGAGGAAGGGAGGAAGGAAGGAAAGAAGGGAGAAAGGAAGGAAGGAAGGAAAAGAAAAGAAGGGAATAGAGGAGGATGAACAGAAAGAAGGAAAACAGGATGAGAAAAAGGAAGGAGAAAGCATGACAGGAGGAAAGAGGGAGGGAAGAATTGTCATTTTGACCCGAGAGGAGGACAAGAAGATTAGACTAAATATTTCTTAAATATATAGTTGGAATAAAAAATGTATTGTATGTCACTTTTCTAAATATTTATATAACCTAAAATAAAGTTGTTATTGGTTTAACCTGTTTTCTTGACTGTTTTGAATGCATTTACACAGTACGGGTCAAAATGACCCGCAACATAATCAATGTCATTTTTTTTCAACATAATACAAGGGTTAAAGGAGGCAGTTTGATCATCACTGACCATGTGACATCACTGACCATATGATATTACTGACAGTGATGGGAATAACGGCGTTACTTTTTTCAGTAACGAGTAATCTAACTAATTACTTGGACTGTAACTATAACGGCGTTATCATTTCCGACATCCCGTTACTGCGCGTTACTCAAGACGCACAACAAACTTCTCTTTTTACTTCGATAGGACTCGTGCGCGTTGTCATGAGAGAAGGGAGGCTGAGAAAACCTCTCAGCAATTATTGGCTGATGTAAAACATATTTCCTTTACAATCTACATGTCTGCAGTTGAGAGGATGCTCATAAATTGTGTTTTTGAAACAAATGGGTCTTAATCACACTCTACCACGGCTTGTATCACCGTGAGGCCAGCCTCAGAGGAGCGCATGTGAGCGCAGAAGGCTGCATACAATTCCATCGATAAGCTCCTTTCTCCTCCTGGTTTATCTGCTAAGGGCAGCAACAGGTTTGGCTAACATACATATAACACATTTTTAGATAATTTAAAATGCACTTAGGGTAATTTTTCAATGACTATAGGAATGATAAGAAAGAGAGGTGAAGTGTAAGACGGTTGATTTTAGAAATTGGATGCACCCGGCTGCAGCTAACAAAACAGAGGAGTTTACGGAGGAGACATGCGTTATGTTTTACTTTTTAAAACTCATTGGACTCATTTCCAAATGGAGGATTACATATCTACGCTCAAACTATTATCTGGACTTAAACACAGAATTGGTCTGAACCAAAGAGGCCTGTGCAGGTCATTTATAAGGTAAGACCCATAACTCATAGTTTTGCGTTTTGTATGAACAAACAATGCGGGCATGAAACATAATTTGCTGTAGCCAAACAAATTGTCCAGTTGATTTATATGATATATATGTTCATCTGATTGGGCTGAAGTCAGTGCTTCACCGGTGTTTCCACATTCACAGTGGAGCGTGTTGGTGTTTAGTGCTTACAGCACAGAGAGAGATGGAGAGTGAACAGGTTTTAGATGGAAATATTGGCGCTATTTCAGACTCACTGAGGTTAAAGGTAAAATTGCGCACCTCAAGTGCACATTATGTTCCAGAACAAAACGAAAAAGTAACGCAATAGTTACTTTTACTGGTAACTAGTTACTTTTATTGTGGAGTAACTCCGTTAGTAACTCAGTTACTTTTTGGGAGAAGTAACTAGTAACTATAACTAATTACTTTTTCAAAGTAACGTGCCCAACACTGATTACTGATCATATGACACCACTGACCATATGACATCACTGACCATTTGATATTACTGATCATATGACACCACTGATCATATGACATCACTGACCATATATCACTGACCATGTGACATCACTGATCATATGACTTCACTGACCATATGACATCACTGATCATATGACATCACTGACCATATGACATCACTGACCATATGTGGCTCTTTGACGTCTGCAATGTGGACAGTTTCCTTGAATCTCAATCATAAAGTGTGTGTTGTGTTTTCCCTAGAGCTACATGATGAGTTCAGGGCTTTGTCCCGTGACACTTCTGTACTTTCTCAAGGAGTCTTTTTGACTTTTCGATGTAAAACCTTCAGTCCAGACTCCAGAAAGAATGTACAAGAACAAGTCCATGAAGGGTGACGGCTTCTCCCTTTTCATTTTGGAGTAATTGGCTCCGAAGTGGAACACAAAGTTCTGTTGATTTACTACCAATTATCTCTCAGTGCAACAGCATTAGTTAAATAACAAACTATAATAAAATAGTACAAGAAATGCTGAATTACATTTCCCAAACATTTCCATATACATACTGGAAATGTCTTTAACTAATACAGTGTTTGGCTGGGGCCGAGAGCAGCACAGACGGGGATCAGTGGAGCAGGACATGTAGGTCTTTTATTTGCCTCAGACTTGAAAAACTGCTTTATAAAAGAGAACATCAAAAGTCCAGCTGGCCTTTTCACTTCAGCCTGAAAAAGCAGCTAATGAGTCAATTAGTAACGACTGTGTTAGGACATTGTTAGGGGTTTCAGTCATTTAGAGAACAAAATAAACCATTTAACAATTGGAAATGCTGAAGCTATCACTCAACAAGTGCTGGGTTTCAACTTAATGATCATGTCAAAGTTTTCAGCAACAGTGACCGAGCGTGTCTCTCCTGACCCAAGGCTATCACTGATCATCCGTCTTCACAGGTCGTCAGGACGTGTCACCTCAGTCTGCTCGGACCAGAGAGACGATGTTTTAGGGACTGAAGACAGACTGTAAATATTACAGATGTAGTCATGTCTATCTCCACCATTTAAACTAATGTGACATTCCTATTGGACCTTCCTGTAAAGACATTTTCCAGTGGAAAGAAGACTCCATACAAAAGCATTGGGTAATTCTCTTTCCGGGTACACCCCCACCAGGGGGAGTGAGATTGCAGCATGTCAGTGTGGTGCTCATGGATCTTTTGAAGTCGAGTTGGTCTGCCCGTCGAGATGATCTGCCTCAGCTAATGCAAACCTGCGCTGCGCTTCTCACGGCAGCCAAAGCAAACCAAGATGGCGGACATGTAGTCCAAAATTGCTTTAAAAGTTGAAATATGAACGAATTAAGACACGAAGGCTCTGTGGAGCCCCTCTCCCCACCATTAAGGACATGTACTCCACCAGTCTCACCCGCAAAGCCGTCAGAATCACCAGGGACCCTACGCACCCATCACACAGGCTCTTCAGGGTAATGCCTTCAGGGAGGAGACTGCAGAATTTACGGAACAGTTCCAGTCGACTTAAAAACAGTTTCATTCACAAGGCCATCAGGAAGCTGAACTTATTTGTAATCTCATCCAGGTACTGTCTAACAGGTGATGCTCCAAGGTCAAAGCTGTTTCTGTGGGTTAAACCCCCTGTGGTTCACTTCCTCTGATCCATCGCAGCGTGTTTGGATTTGGACTCCTCTGAACCACAGTCCACAGAATTCTCAAGTCTGTCTCACATGTCTCTGCAGCTGATGTGCTGCTCTTCTCCAGGACTCTGAATCTGCAGGTTATATTTGCATCATAAAAAGAAAAGAATATTGAAATGATTGCTCACATAATCTGTTGATTAAAGTAAAGGTAAACTTAAACTTTCCACAAAAACACAGTGAACATAAAGTTCGGATGCTTCAGGTTCTCCAACCTTTTCCTTTTTGAGGCACAAATCCTTTAAGATCTTGGTAAAAATGAGACTTATCTTCAGTTTCTGACGCTGGCTCGGTCCGGAGCTGGTAGTCGGGGAAACTGGAGCACCCAGAGGAAATCCCCCCAGACACTAAGTGGGAATCAAACAACCTTCTTTCGATGAAGCGTGAGCACTTAAGATTCTGAAGGAGAAGAAAAATGTAGGGTGTCACTGCTGCTCCCCAATGTTTACGTGACCCTTGACCTTTAACAGCAGCAAAAAAAGAATATTCAGGAAAATGTAAACTCTCTTGGTTTATGTTCCAGATGTTTACACTTAAAGTTAGAGCGAAGAGAAGAAGCAGGACAGGGGTCAGAGGTCACAGGGAAGGACCCAGAAACACCATGGGGACGGTCACTGTCACAAGAGAGATGGGGGGGACATGTGGGGGTTGAGACATGTGGGCGGTGGAGAAATTTAGGGTGAAGACATGTGGGTGGAGACATGGGGGGGGGGGGGGGGGGGGGGGATGGGGGGATGAAGACATGTAGCGGAGTGGAGACATGGGGGTAGAGACATGGGGGTAGAGACATGTGAAGGTGGAGACATGGGGGTAGAGACATGTGGGGGTGGAGACATGTGTGGGTAGAGACATGAGGGGGTGGAGACATGGGGGGGATGAAAAAATGTAGGGGGGTGGAGACATGGGGGGTAGAGACATGTGGAGGGTGGATACATGTGGGGGGGGAGGGGGGTCTGGCTGCTCTGAGTATTGGCTTCTGTCTGACAGGGACTTGGGAAATGGACTTGAAGCGATCGATCCGTTATAATGTTAACAACGATCCCTCCTCCGTCTGCGCGGCACACGACAAATCTATTAGAGTCTGAGCCGTCCACTGCCACGGGACAAAGAAGACACCGCCACGGGACAAAGAAGACACCGTACACGCCACGGGACAAAGAGAAGAGACCGTCCACCGCCACGGGACAAAGAGAAGAGACCGTCCACCGCCACGGGACAAAGAAGAGACCATCCACCGCCACGAGACAAAGAGAAGACACCGTACACGCCACGGGACAAAGAAGACACCGTACACGCCACGGGACAAAGAGAAGAGACCGTCCACCGCCATGGGACAAAGAAGAGACATTGTCCACCGCTACGGGACAAAGAAGAGACCATCCACCGCCACGAGACAAAGAGAAGACACCGTCCGCCGCCACGGGACAAAGAAAAGACATTTTCCACCGCTACGGGACAAAGAAGAGACACCGAAAAGGCCAGGAAGTCCAAGAACAGGTGCTGATGGTGACTTTTCTGAGCATCATTTCTGAGGCTGTGATTCTTTGGTCGATTTACATGGAGTGGACATTAACAAAGCAGGACGATTGATCTCAAAACATACAGTTTTGGAAGGAGGAGTTATTATTACATCTATGTATTTTATGCTGTTTGCTTACTACTTATTTTGTTTCAACATCAAACTAACCAATAATAAAACAGTTTCTTAATGATGTCTCACAGTAACCAAACGTGCAAACATACAAACACTTTCAACAATGTATTATTTATGTTTGTTCTTATTTTCTCTGTGCAGCTTCATCGCTGTAATTATCTGTGAATTACCTGTGTTTCAGAACCGAGTTTTTCACTGCTCTTATTGGGCCTCACGTATGAAAGTTGCGTAGAAAAGGGTGTATATTTTGGGTGTATATTCCATTTACGCAAGATTCGACGTGGCATTTATGAACGTGTGAGATACGCACAGATCTGAGCGTACGCACCTGCAGCTGTTGATAAATGCAGCGCTCAAAACCAGCGTATTTATGAAAGTCACGGCTAGAAATATTCAGAAACTGCCTGTTCCACGCCCTGTTTTTGCGACAGGTCAGCAGGAAGTCGGCTAAGAAGACTGTTTGGAAGCCTCAAAAAACAAACTCTTCTGTGATTATTCACGTTTAAAAAAAAAATATATATATATATATATACGCTCTATTATATATACGCGTTTTTCCCTAGTGTCTAGACCAGGGGTGCTCAATACGTCGATCGCGATCTACCAGTCGATCGCAAAGGTAGTATTGGTAGGTCGCATTAAATAAATAAAAAATTACACATTCTAAACGAATATATACAAAAAACTCCGGGCAAAGTGGAGATTTTTGAAAACTCCGTTAATGCATTTGTGTGTAGACAGAGATAACCAGAGTTTTGCGTTCTCGCACGCCACAGTACCCCCCTAAATTCCTCTGATCACTGAAGCATGGATCATACTACCTTAAAAACTGTTCGCTGTGAGATGCTCGCAGCAGCGAACATCCTCGCTCCACATCAGAGAGCAGCAAAGTGATCGCGGGGACTCACGCTCGAAAACAACTAAACCAGGACTAAACCAGGGCTGAGGACGGGGTCAGTGCTTGTAAACATACGTCTTACTCTTTACTCTGAGTGTCTTCTATGACTGTAAAAGTGCCGTTACCGGCGTCTGCATCAAAGCTCCGCCCACTTCTGTGTTTTTCCCCAACGCAGGACAGGACGTAAGAGACGCACATGTTTGGAATGTTACGAATGTGATTGATAACGCAGATGTGTGGATGCAAATTATTTTACAAACGGAGGGAAATATTTGGATTTAAAAAAAACAGGCATGGCACATGGACATGGCACCACAGTCAAATGACATCTGTGTTTTACTCAGTAATGTTTTACTGACACTTAGGTGACTGCACATGCGCAAACAACCGCGCTCAGTGCAGGAAAGCTAAACCACGACAAACTTGTCAGCGAGTTACCACCAATTTTCCGGACTACCATTCCTGGCCGATTCAATTCAGTGCAAGTCATAAGAGTAAACTCGGGTAATGACAAAAAATTTACATAGGTAATTGTGTTGTGTTGTGCTATATTGGCTCATGCGGTTTAGCATGTACATAAACATACATTGTAGATATAAAGAATAATTTTTGAAATATATGATTTGCATTTTTGTAGTAGGTAGATCATTTTGACTTGATCCTTTTATAAGTAGCTCGCATGCTGAAAAAGTGTCTAGACCCCTGGTCTAGACCCACTGCAGCACTCATCTCTCCTGAAATTTAGAAGTAAATAAATAAATAAATAATGAATGAATGAATGAACCAGTTCCAACATGCGCTTTGCATCCTATTTCTGCTATGCAGAGAACAGGGCAGTGGATGAGCAGTTTTGAGCAAGATCAATTGCGTTTATGGGGCTTTTTGCACAAAACTAAGGAAAACCCACATTGCTTTGCCAGAGGTGAATGAGGCAAAACATATGCGTAATTACGTATACGGCGCAGGGTCTGGTTAGTGAGTTAACGGCTAAGGAAAAATAACTTCACGGAGCAGGAGATTGAGACCATTATGAGTGGGAAAAATAATAAAGTCTTACTATTTGGAATTCTCAAAAGTGGCATCAAGGGGCTCAAAAAACAATATATGGAAAGAAAGGACAGCATCTGTAAACAGCGTGGGGCCTGCAACACGCACTCCTGAAGAGGTGAGTTTTTTCATGTTCGAAGAAAAATACGCTCATTATATCAAACAGTTGATATATTGGGCCAATAGTAAGAATTCATTAATTTATGCTACAAGTGAAAAAAAAGGGAGCAAACTTAAAATGGTAACAAAAAGGCGTTTAGCGCAGCCCATAGAAGAAGTGCTCAGCAGCCCAGGGGGAGGACCGCCAGACCAAAACATCCAAAAGAAAATATAAAGAAATTAAATTATCTTCAAATTATCCATCCATCCATTTTCTTCCCCTTAATCCATTTCTGGGTCGGGGGGGTGGCAGTCAGAGATGCACCCAGTACACATAGCACCAGCCCCTCACTGATCCTCCCGCAGGTGGTGAGTCCACAGGAGCTGAGATCTTTCAGTGTGGGCTTCAGGCAATTCTTCAAATTATGTATGTGATTATTATTTTAAAATGGCTAAATGAGAGCCTGTCTGAGCTGTACAGGCCGAAGGCGGTGCTGGCCATGGTCTCTCATCCATGGGCTGCTCCACCAGTGGCACACTGTGGTCCTGTGCCTGTTGTGGAGAACCGAGCCAGGACCATGTGGCATACTTGTACCGGGAGGTATAGCGTACCCCCTACATGTCCCAGAGCCTGATCAGACCCGTGCAGCGCTCCACGGTGGCGCGCGTCTTTGCTTGGACCCGCATGAACCAAAGCCATTACGCACTGATTGTAGGTGCATATAACAATCCACACATTTGTGGGAGACTAAGTTTGACATCTTGCACGTTATTTAATAACACAAACTAGCCCTAACATAACATCGTACATATTTGTAATTGTAATGTGAGAGGTGTGCCTATAATCTTGTCGGAGGGGGAATATTTTTATTTTAGTCCAAATCTTGCATTTCATGCGTGTTTTGGCGTGTCGTAATGAAGGTTGAAATGAGCGTACACATTTACACCACCTCCAGACCTGGCCTATATTTTTTGCGTATCGTACGCTCACGTCCAGATTGATAAATGCGGAAAAGTGTAAATATTTTGCGTACGCATCATTTACACCCTGATTTGGCCGTATGCTAGTTTCATACATGAGGCCCATTTTTACCTAGATCTATCGTTGATGTGAGTTTGTGCGTTTGCTCTGGACAACGACAGAGCGGAACTTTCAGAGGTTCCCTTTTTTAAGGAGCACTATGTAAACATGTGGCCAAAAGTGGTACTGCAGCCTCTCCCACTCTCCCTGACTCAGGTTGCCCGATATGCAGACGAATCCAGCTGGGACTATAACAGCTGAATACACAAGAGTTTTTTCAACAACAAATCTATAACCAACACCTTTTTCACAAAGATAGAAATCTTTTTTTTCTTCTTATTTTGTTGTTAATGATTTGAGAATCATAACGAGACCTTTTTTTAGTTCTGCACCACATGGTACTTTACCAGTGAGAATAGCTCCACGCGGTAAGATCTGGCGCCTGGATCACAGACTTTCTGATTGGCGAAACGGTGAATATCTCTGAACTATTAATGATCACAGCATATTGCACTCACCATTATTGCAATGATAATATTATTTTCATAAAAAAATTTAGCCGAAGTACATGTTATTTTTATTTTTGAAGTCGTCATTAAACACCAGATAGAGTACATTTGACCCGCTTTGCCGCGATACAAACCATGACAGTAGAAAAGGTCAATACAGACTTATCCCACAGAGACTGAAACATGAATATTACTGATTATTGCTGATTATTTCTTAATATTACTGAATATTTCTGACCAATACATGAATATTACTGAATATTACTGAATATTACATGAATATTACTGAATATTACAGACTATTACTGAATATTACATGAATATTACGGATTATTACATGAATATCACTGAGCAGCTGCGCTTACTCGATGAAGACGTTGTCAGGATCCATAGGTCCTATTCCCCGCACCACATATGGGTATTTCATTACCAGCTACAGCCACACACACATTCCACATGAATGGGGGGATTAGCTGCAGCTCTCACCACCACCCACACATGTAAACATACAAGCCACCATCACTGTGGGCGCCAGATCCACGTGGCTTTCACTGAACGCCACATTAGAAACGCAGGGTCACCTTCTCTGTAAACCTCGTGAAGTGACACAAGCAAGCACACAGACACCAAGACATGTCAGCAAAGCCCGGATACAAATAGTCCTGGACCCCCAGCAACTGTACATTCTGGCGTTTTACGATGGTGACCTCATATGTAGAGTCAGTGGCTGCAGGAGGATCATCTTAAGTGAAAGGGCCCCCGGTCTGTTCCTTCCTGTCCTGGACCCCCCAGGCAGCACGGCCAGATCAAGTTCTGCCCGCCCCAGATGTAATGCGGGTCAAGGCGGTGTCATGGCAGAGCTCCTGTAGTGTGTGTGTGTGTGTGTGTGCAAGCGTGCGTGCGTGTGTGTGTTTCCCAGAGCTGTCAGTGAGATGGATGGACAGTGGTCTGAGGTGGATCAGTTTCCTTCAGAGACGCTTCTTTAACAAGTGACTCTTTGGTCCTGGACATGTCCCAGTGTCTTGCACTGTCCTCATGCACTGTAGCTCGTGTACTGTCCTCATGCACTGTACCTCGTGCACTTTCAATCAGACCCCGCTGATGTTTTATCTTTGAGTCTGAACTCTGAACACCCCTAAAGAACCGTTCAAACCACAAACATGTAATAAAATCCATCTCATTAGTTCCTTTCTCTTAAACAGTGTGTTTGATTCTGTGACAATGTTTTACAAGTTAATCTCCAGTCACTTCTTAAGATCAGCTTTTTGAATGAAAAAGAGAGGACCCCCCTCACTCGGCCAATCAGCTCTCAGCACAAAGAAGATAAAGACAGCATTCTGTTGATTTGTTCAAATCAAGAAG